CGATGCCCCGCAGCCGTTTGAGGGACGCCATGATGGCATCCGAGCCGCCATGGCCCGCCCGCGTTTTTCCATTGGTTTTCGAGAAGCCTGAGTCAGTGCATGCGTTTTCGCTTGATGGAAGCAGCAAGGTGAGGATGATTCAAGGAATGGGTATGGACGGCCCACTTCGCAAAGATTATTCTGATTGCTGCCAGCTTGTCTTGGTTTGTTTTTGGAACCTGCCGCTACGTTGGTGATGCGACGAATTGCCAACGAGTTTTGGTTCTTTCCTGGAAAGTTTGCGAGATTGAAGGCTATGACCACGTCGAGGTCGAGTACTGAGAGTGGATGAGCTGGAGACTTGCATTAATTCGTTTGTCACGTGTTTGTCACAACGAACTCTTGGAGATGTTCCAAGACAGCCCTGTCTAATACAGGAGGATGCAAGATGAATTCGTTTGTCACGAGTTTGAACAACGAACTCTTGGGTGCAAGCCAATACAGGACCCAGGACAACTTTGCCCTATGGTGGGATCTTGCATGAGTTTGTTTTTATGTCAGAGATCTGCTGGTGTGTCGTTTGTTTCGCTTTGGTGGCGAGTACGCACCAAGGGAATGTGGCCAGGGCATCCCCTTAGTGTTGACGTGCCGAGCTGTGCTTGGACTTTGGATCTTTGGCATGAACCCTCAGCAAAATGCGGGGGGTGGAAGATCGTGGCTGATCATTGATGGTTTTGTCATGTTTTGGATCAGCTTGTATAGTTTTGTTTTGCTTCGGAGTGATTGGGAATCGTTGTGATCCCATCCTCGATGTTTTTGCCTCGATGATTTCCCTAGGAAATCATACGAGTATGTTTTTGCCCAATACGCTACTTTGAGTGAGTGTGCAGTGTGTAGGAACTTTGTTCTGAAGCTGAGTTTAAGCTCACATGTGAATTCGTTTAGTTTGCGCACTTCGTGACTTGTGGCTCAAACCCTGCGAGTGAAAAAGAGCGTGTCCGCACTTGGTTGAGATAGGTTTGGGTTCGTGCTTTGAAGGGAAAAGGTACCAGAGGGACCTTCGGTTTTTCACGATGTGGGCTCCTATATCCACTGTGGCAGTGGTAAAGCGCGGACATCTGACTGCCCTCGCCACTCTCGACCGCAGCAATCGCAACATCTAAGGCCATCCAGGGCCTGCTGCATTGCGCCTGCACGACTTGATTCAGAGCTGGGAAGCTTTCTTCCCCTCGGCCCATCATGGGCTCCTCAATGAGCGATGTGCAACGTACCTAAGGGAGACAGATACCATTTCCTTTCACGCCTGCTTTGTCCCTGCAGCCGCAAGCTGCACGCTGCCATGAAGGCCGCTTCTTGGCCAGTCCCTACAAATTGCACAAGAATTGGTTTCCGAGATAGTGGGTTTTACTTGCCCCCTTTCAGCTCCGCAGGACACGTTCCGCTGCGCAACTGCCTGGCGCACCTGTGGTGCTGCTATGGCTCTGCTCAGGGACTACATCAACGAGCTTGGGTACTGAGCGCGTGGGGTCTTCTTAGTAGTTTCGCCGCCCTCTTCTGGTTTGTCGGTTGGTTGTTGTGTTGCTGCTTTGGTTGGTTGGGTGGTTTCTTCTTTCTTGGTTGTGTTGCTTCTTTCTGGCGACTTGTTTCACACCTAGTTGAGAGACCCACAAGAACGGCCTACTGTGCTACTGATGTAGTAAAAAGGCGCCCGCTTAAAAAACAAAAACTCCGGGGTTGTCACCATCTGTCTCCTTATTGGGTTCCTCAGGCAGCTGTCGCCTAAGAAGGGGGAGCAAGGACGGAGGGATGAGAGGGCGCCACGACTCATGCCAGTGTCCCAGAACAACCAGCCCTAGAAGCAAAACAAGTGAGGAGGAAAGAGGGAAGCCAAAGAGGGTTGCGATGGCAGTCTAGCGGACTATCGTCGACTGGCACTCCGAGAGCAGTGTGCCTCCGTTCCTTAGGGAGGTGCAGCAACGCATCCCATAGCGGAGTGGCCGCTCTCCCAGGTAGCAGTAGCAGCAGCAGCAGCAGTAGCAGTAGCAGTAGCAGTAGTAGTAGTAGTAGTAGTAGTAGTAGTAGTAGTAGTAGTAGTAGTAGTAGTAGTAGTAGTAGTAGTAGTAGTAGTAGTAGTAGTAGTAGTAGTAGTAGTAGTAGTAGTAGTAGTAGTAGTAGTAGTAGTAGTCAGCAGTCCTTCATCGTGAGCGAATTGTACAGTTTCGTAGCCCTCATTGTACATACTGGTGTGCCGGTCTCCGGCCACATAAATGCCTCATATTTTGTTGTTTGGTATACACGAAGTGCTGACTCGAGAGTTCGCTCGGCTATTCGTAGCGGAACTCGTCTCTTGTGGAACTTGCGCTCAAGGAAGCGCCAATGCACCAGCATTGCCACTAGGCTGTACGCTAAGCTGTGGACTCGAACTGCGGCTGCGCTTGGAATGGAATGGAATAGTAGTAGTAGTAGTAGTAGTAGTAGTAGTAGTAGTAGTAGTAGTAGTAGTAGTAGTAGTAGTAGTAGTAGTAGTAGTAGTAGTAGTAGTAGTAGTAGTAGTAGTAGTAGTAGTAGTAGTAGTAGTAGTAGTAGTAGTAGTAGTAGTAGTAGTAGTAGCAGTAGTAGTAGTAGCAATAGTCGTAGTAGTAGTAGTAGTAGTAGTAGTAGTAGTAGTAGTAGTAGTAGTAGTAGTAGTAGTAGTAGTAGTAGTAGTAGTAGTAGCAGTAGTAGTAGTACATGTAGTAGAAACTGAGTGAGAGGGCAGTAGTCTCCGGCCAGGGGAAAAAAACCTCAGAGGAGGTGAAAAACCTTTAAGGTTTAGAAAACCTCAGAGGAGGTGATTCTTTCTTTGTCGGGTCACTGACCGCTGGTACAGCAGGAAAAAATAGTAGTAGAAGTAGTAGTAGTAGTAGTAGTAGTAGTAGTAGTAGTAGTAGTAGTAGTAGTAGTAGTAGTAGTAGTAGTAGTAGTAGTAGTAGTAGTAGTAGTAGTAGTAGTAGTAGTAGTAGTAGTAGTAGTAGTAGTAGTAGTAGTAGTAGTAGTAGTAGTAGTAGTAGTAGTAGTAGTAGTAGTAGTAGTAGTAGTAGTAGTAGTAGTAGTAGTAGTAGTAGTAGTAGTAGTAGTAGTAGTAGTAGTAGTAGTACTAGTAGCAGTACTAGTATTAGTGCTAGTGCTAGTACTAGTACTCGTCGTCGTCATCGTAGTAGTTGTAGTAATAGTAGGAGGAGGAGTAGTAGTAGTAGTAGTAGGAGGAGGAGGAGTAGTAGCCCTGGTGGTAGTAGATACAGATTTTGAACCCGTTTCCCGTATAGTCACTATAGTCAACGTGATTGTTGCCCTCTGCTTTCCAATGACTAAATGGGAGTGCTTCACACCCCCATTTTGCGCGGTATTTGAAGCAATAGTCGTCGTCGTTCTTAATACTAGCACATTGTTTTTAGGCAATCATTCAGGTAATTCTGTATACTGACCTGCCCTCGCTACATGCCAAATCGGAACATATCGTGTAGCATTGCATACAGAAACAAATGAACATCAAAGGAACTTATTAAAAACAACCTGAACCAGCAACCATAACATCTTAACTAATACAATGAAATGGTTGAACAACAGCTTCACGCTATGAATAGCTGAAGGATGTTGAGTGTCTAAATGCATGGCAGGACTGCATGAGCCATGGGCTTTCCAGCGAGGTCTGTAGAGGGCCTGAAGGTCGGGTTGGTTTAGGGTACCCAGCACTGCACCCCAGACCCCAGCCAACCGAACTTCAAGTCCTAAACGCACAGCCCGCACGAATGGGCATCAAGCAGGCTCGAATGTTTTTTGTGTGCACTTTGTGGGGGGGCGGGGGGGGGGGAGGGTACGGGAGAGAGGGTTTAAAGTCTTAGTGATTACAGGGTGCTGCAAGTCTCTGAATAGGAGCTGCTTTGGACCCGTCAAATACGTGTATACCGACAATCTACTTTGGGCAATGTGGAAGTCTAAAGATAGTGCATATGGCGCCTGCAACGTGCAAAGACGGGCGGCTGTTCTCGGGTTTCAGGTCAGTGAAGTTTTCGGGAAGTGCCTCAAGTGTCAGCAAACGTCACGGAGCTTCATAGTGTCCAGGGTCTTGCGGGTTGGCACGTGGCATGTGTCAGCACTAAGCGGCAGTTGCCAATTCCACGGGCTTGTGGATTGTGGTGCAGACTTCGCCACGGCATCGGCTCAAGCTACCCGTGTTCTGCGAGTTCAACCTCCATGAGGCAGTGGGGTCTGTGGACCTGCGCAGGTAGTTTGGCCGCATCTAAGCTTAAAGCTTTAAAGCCTCAAAACCTTTGACTTCTGATTTCAAAGGCCTGGCGGCAGCTCTTCGATGGGACGACTCCCATCTGAAAGTTGTTCCTCAGCCGCTCTTCAGTGTTGAAGTGAGGGTTATCAAAGAGCATCGGCAATGTTTTGCGGGGCTTTCATGGGAGGTCCAAGACCGCCAGGAAGCTGCCGAAGAAGCTGCAGAGGAGCCGGGCAGAGATCGTGAGTTTTAAGGAAGGTTTTACAGCTCTCTCTACCAGCTCTGAGCAAAGAATGTGTCATCTTCATCTCGGGCGCTGTGCTGTAGATACGGCAGAAGAAAGAAGACACGCTGAACAACTCGCGGAAGAGTTGGCTTCGGTTGTCGATTTTAAAGACTCTCTTAGGTCGTGCTGTGACTGAGGTTTAGCGTTTGAGCCTAAAAAGGCTTTAGTCTTTGTAAGTTCTAAACCTCGGTCACACTTCAAAAAGTTAGAAGCAAACGCTGATTTGCATACGAGGGAGCTGTCCGGCCAAGCTACTCAACACACCTACTACAGGGTACTTTGTTGAGACAGACGGACCATTGAGGATCGTTGGAAAAGCCTTTGCACTAAGACCGTAGCCCTCTGAAGGGACATTTGAGGATGGCAATGGGTCTCACAATCAGATGGAGTCTTAAACCTTAAACCTGAACACTTGGCGCAACACGGCTGAGAAGAACAGGTCACTTCAACCCCCACGACCCTAAAAACCCAATGGAGAGCTCGTTCACAAACAACGTTCGAATGCCAGCGTCTGTCAAAAAACCAGGGGCCGAGCACACGGTTTTGTGTGCGAACAGTCCAGGTGCCCGTGATCCATGTGAGCTGTACTGGTGGCCGTGGCAGTTTTCACCATGTTTCTCTTGATGATGCTCTTCAGACACTTCGAAGACTGTCTCGAAAGTCCTGTAGCGAATCGAGAAAGGTACAAATCACCGAGCTCCAATCCAAGTCTTTGTGCTCAAATCAAGATTTGCCACCTTGAGCCGTCCTGCTTTGGCCATAGGGCTTTTAAAACCGGATGTTTGGGTTGACGCCTAGGAGTCCAGGGTTCAGGTTTATGTTGTTTTTTTGGGGGGCGGGGTTTGGATGCTTGCGGTTCTGGGCTTTTCCAGGGCTCTGTCTCGCAGGCTTTGCAGGCCTGCGACGCGCAGTTGCAGAGCCTCCAGGCGGAGTTGCAGCGCGTCTGCGAGGAAGACGTCAGGCACTTGGACTCCACGACCGCAGCGGGCGGCTGCGCTGCAGAAGCTGAGAGCGTGATCCGCGGAAGCTATGAGATCTGGTCGCGGCATTTGGTCGAGTGTCCCGCGGAGAAGACCTTCCAACTCCTCTGGGCCGGCGCCTCGACTGTAGCAGACCAAACGGGCCTGTCATTCGCTACGGGCCCAGAAGTAGTGAATGCAGCTACGGAATGTGGGTCAAGAAGCTGCATGGGTTCTTGTTTCTCGGGATCAACTTCAGAATTCAGGAAAAAGAGTAGTACTCCCATAGGGGGCCGCAGGGACTGGTTGCTGACGACCCTCTGAAATTCCCCCCGAGGTTTCCGCGATGAGGAGCGGGAAGGGGCCCTGATGCCCCTCCGAAATCGCGGCGGCTGCGTTTTGGAATCCAATGACCGCCCAGACACCCGGCTAGGACGGGTTTGGAACAAGAGTCTTCTGTTCCCCGAAGCCCTCGGCGCTAAGCCCAAAAGCCCTAAGCCCGTAACCCTAAACCCCGAAACCCGTAAACCCTTAAACCCTATCGGGGTTTCGGCCTGGGGCTTGGGAGCCCTAAGCACCCCCCGAATGCGGGAGAAGATCCCCAGGCGCAATCTTGAACATGCCGGAGATCCAGGTGCTGAAGAGCTGCAGATGGGACAAGGCCCATGGGCTTCCCCCGGGCCTGGCAAGAGTATCGAGGTTGCCTCAAGATCGCGGCTTCCTTCATCTTGTTCATTGCTGTTTCTTGTTTCCTGAGCTCGCTGTGTGAATGTAGGTGCTGAGGGTCAGGAATTGTTGACTCAAGCCCACAAGCTGCTGTTTGCAGTGAGACCTGTTGAAAGGCACAAAGGGCTCCTCCGAGACTTGTTTTGCCCGCATGAATGTTAGCGCTTCCTGCAAATCGAACGTCACCAGGCGCTGCAGACATTGCCGGATTCATGTCAGAGCTCTTGTTCATCTGCTTCTCCTGTGTACACGCGTGAAGCTCGACAGTTGTTTCGTCTCGTTGTGACAAACGGCACGCAGTGAAAGGTGAGCCTTTTCTGGGCTGGCACCTCGCGGCAGTTCGCCCAAAACTGGGCTGCACGGCCTCAAGCCGAGACGAGGGAGGATAGACAAGATAGCAATGACTTGGTCATCGCGCTCGGGTACGACTTCCAGGGCCAAAGCAGGAAGCCAATCTGGGACACCGTTCTCTACCAGGAGGAGCTCAAGGCTTTCGCCTTCGGAATGCGGGCGCAGGCCCAGCTGACGGTGCTGGCATCCCACCCGCGGATGACGCGCGAGCTGACGGCTGGGGCAGCGGTGGCCATTTGGGAGCGGGTCCGGCTCTTGGCGGGCGCCGCTCGCTGTACTTGAACTCAGGGAGGGCTTTTTTTACAACTGAACCTAAACATAAACCCCTTGTTCTTTTGTTTGGAAGCACAAGAACAGCAGCACTGCAGCACCTCTCCTGGCAGAGGTGGACCTGCCGGCCGTGAAGTATGAGAAGTGCTCGGGCGCCTCACTGGAGGACTGCATGGATGGGGCCAAGCCTGTGTCAAACGGCGCACAGCTCCTCTACCTGGCACATATGTACTACTTCGGCCACGGCTTGGGGCGGAACCATCGGCAGGTGTCGCCGCTGCGCTCTCTCCCGCTCTAACCATCTCTCTCTCTCTCTCTCTCTCTCCTTTCTTGCCTTTCTCGATTTTTTCTCTTTCTCTTTTGTTTTTGGTTCTTCGGTGTTTGTTCTTAAAATTTCATCTGTTTCATGTATCTCATTAGTTTCAATCGGGGAAGGCAGCCAAGCTCTACAAGATGGCTGCCGACCTGGGCCTCGCAGCGGCCCAGAATAACTTGGGCCTCTTTTACCTGCAGGGACACCTATGGGACCTATGGCACCTCCACAACCAAAGCGATGCAAAAAGAGAGGCCGCGCGCCTCTTCAAGCTGGCGGCTGACCAGGGTGAGGCAGATGCCCAAGTCAACTTAGGCTTCTCTTACGCGACAGGACGGGGGGTCAAGCAAGACGATGCGGAGGCGGCGCAACTCTACAAGCTGGCGGCTGACCAAGGCAATGCGGCTGCCCAGTACCAACTAGGTTTCATGTACGATCGCGGCCGGGGAGTCAATCAAAGCGAATCGGAGGCCTTGCGCCTCTACAAGCTCGCGGCCGACCAAGGCCATGCAGCGAGCCAAGCCGAATTGGGCTTTTCTTATGCGACAGGACGGGGTGTCAAGGAAAACGATGCCGAGGCAGCACGCTTGTCCAAGCTGGCGGCTGACCAGGGCATTGCGGCTGCCCAGTACCTTTTGGGTTTCATGTACGATCGCGGCCGGGGAGTGCAGCAAAGCGACTCGGAGGCCGTGCGCCTCTACAAGCTCGCGGCTGACCAGGGCTATGCAGCTGCCCAGACAACCCTGGGCGAAATGTACCTCGATGGCCGGGGTGTCGAGAAAAGTGATTCCGAGGCTGTGCACTTGTTCGAGCTGGCTGCGAACCAAGGCAATGTGGCTGCCCAACACAACTTGCAACTCATGTATCTGAGCCAAGACAACGTCGAGCGTGTCGAGCAAAGCGGCGCAGACCCCCCGCTGAATAAACTGGCCACGGACCGGGGCCTCGCAACTGACCTGGATGAGATGCACCGCCAGGGCATCAAGCAGAGCGACGCCTGAGCCACGCAGGAAAAAGTCGGCCGAAACCCTTGTCAGTTTGATTTTGAGACTTAGCATGAGGCTGTGCATACGACCTTCTTGCAACAGTGGTTTTGGACTCAACTTGTGCTCTCTTGCATGGTTTAGGGGGGGGGGGTGGGGTGGTTTAACTTTGACACGGAGACAACCTTGCCAAACGAACAGCCCTCTGCTACCCCGAACCGCTGAAGTACCCGAATTTCAACCGGCATTTCGCACTCTCGACAGTGCCCGACTTGGAGCCTTGGAGGCGACAGGAAGACTCTAAGCCCCACCCACCCCTAAACCCTCGAAACTTCAAAAAAGCCCGAGCCTTAATGGACTTAGAAGCCCTAAACCCGACATCCGCGCGGCGCAAAAGCTTGTTTGAGTTCGTTCTCGTAGGCTTCGCAGGAAATTCCTCTGTCGCTGCAGCTGCTCTGGCCCTGCTTCTCGTTTGGCTCTCTCATCTCAAAGTGTTTCTCGCCATGAAAGTGTTGCAGTCCCGAGCTTAGCCAATGTTCGCAGTCCTGGTGGTCGTCTTCTTAATCGTGGTGGTGGTGGTGATGTCGGCGGCGGGGCTCATTATAGTGTGGAAGGTGTAGCAGAGGTGGTAGCGGCGCTAGTGGTGCTAGTGGTGCTAGTGGTGCTAGTGGCGGTTAGGCAGTTTTAGAGAAATTTGGAACGACTTTAGTAGGCTCACTAATCCTGAGGTCCGAAACCTATTCACAGAAAGAAGTTGAAGACTTCTTTGATGGGGTTAGAAGCTCTCTCTTTTGGATCCTGGGGCTTCATGTTTTACTGCCCTCCCATGGCATCTCTTCTGCCATGAGGTCACTTCTCGCGCTGGCTGCCGGCTCAGTCGGAAGCCGTAATCGCTCTTACTCGTAATCGTGAGAGTCATACTGGTACCTATACTAGTCCGAATACTACATGAACACGATGAAAATCAGCGAGATGAGCTTAAAACGGCCACTGCTACACGACATTCAAGCAACAACAGCACAGGCCGAAGAGCCCCAAACCTCACATCCCCACTTGCCCCAAGCAATCAGCCCTCCAAAACATTTCATCCCAAGTCCTGAAAAACTCTAAACCCCCGGCGAAATTACCCTGGGGAAGGGCAGGGGGGAGGGGGAGTCCCTAAACCCTAAACCCTAAACCCTAAACCCTAAACCCTAAACCCTAAACCCTAAACCCTAAACCCTAAACCCGAAACCCTAAACCCTAAACCCTTGGGAGCTTTGGGAGCTTTGGGAGCTTTGGGATGTGGCTGAGGTGCCCTTCGCACTCTTGCAGGTTGGAGCGATTGAGGCCTGATGGAGACAGTCTTCATTTTCGGGTTTAGGGTCTAGGGGTTAAGTTTGAGGGTGTAGGGGGTAGGGGTTTAGGGTTTTGGGTTTAGGCTTCATGGTTTAGAGCATGTTAAAGCAGGGTTTAGGCCTCATGTGTATTTTACATGTAGTGTAGAGACCACCCATGTACCTTGAGTTGAGGGCTTCTGGTTCCGAGCATGTTCCGATCATTTCCCTACATCCTCAACCCGACCCCTCACTTCATCTCTCTCGCTCTCTCTTCCTCTTCCTCCCTCTCTCATCAACCCCCCCCCCCAGATCCTCGGGCCCGAAACCCCTCTGCAATCCCGCTTGCATTTTGTGACGCTAGGCTGCTGACTCATGCTCACCTGACAAGAAGGAGGACGCTGTCTGAGGTGTGTGGAAGGTGGAGTTCAGGGATGACAGGTCCGAGTCTATAGGGCTCTCGAGCTTGGAGATCATGGCTTCGAGTTTCCAGGGAGTGTTGGTTAAGGGCTCAGCCTTGAGATGATTGTCATCCTCAACGTCACCACCGCGGCTTCTGCCATGTCTGCTGCCATTTTAACTTGCGTTATCTATTTGCCCCCTGAACCCTAAACCCTAATCCCGAAACCCTACCCCTAAACCCTAAACCCTAAACCCCAAACCCTAAACCCTAAACCCTAAACCCTGAACCCTGAACCCCAAACCCTAAACCCTAAACCCCGAAGGACGCCTCTCTGGCCGATCTGCTGGTTGTGGAGGCCGCGGCGCTTGTGCGATGCGCCGGATGCGGGTAATAGAGCCGCACAAGATCTTCGGGTTTAGGGTTTAGGGCCTTGGGTTTAGGGTTTAGGGTTCAGGGTTTCAGGGGGCTTTAGGGTTCTAGGGTTTTAGGGTTTAGGGTTTTAGGATTCTGGGGATGTAGGGTTTAGGGTAGTAGTTGGGTAGTCTGGGGTAGTTCAGGGTAGTTCAGGGTAGTTTAGGGTTTAGGGTAGTTTAGGAGGTTGAGGGCGTTTAGGGTAGCTCAGGTTTGGGGTTCTAGGATTTTAGGGTTAGGTTTGGGTATAGTGTGGGGTTTTGGGCAAATGATGGTTTAGATGCCTGTTTCGAAGAACAGGCTATGAGGTCGGTATAGAGTAGGCTTTGAAGGTGAAGTCTGCACGTTGCCGTTGCAGGGTTGAGCTTCCCTGATGAGGAAGAGACTCCTTTGCATCTTCTGCAGAGAGGGCAGGCGGGAAGAGTTCAGAAACAACACGCCCAAGCCTACACCTTGCAACCCTACACCCTAGACGGCAAGCCCTGTTCTAACCCTGCACCCTTACCTTAAACCCCAACCCCAGACCAACAGTGTGTACTGCTGCCACTGCTACTGCTTCTGCTGCTACTTGAAGCTGTTGCTGCTGGGAGTAAACCCTAGACCCTAAACCCGAAACCCTAACGCTGAACCCTAAACCCTAAGCCTTAAACCCTAAACCCGAAACCCTGAACCCTAGCCTCAGTTTTGCTGGCCTTCCCTCCTTGGAAGGTGGCCCAGCAATCCGGCACGGAGACCCCAGAAGGAACGTGCGAGCTTGCCAAAAGCATGTGTGATGACTTGTGTTCACGTATAGACAAGATTTTGTGTCGTTAAAACCCTAAGCGCCAAACCCCAACACCCCATCCCCTGAGCCATGCCCCCCCACACTCCCACCCCCCCCACTCCCACCCCTGAGGTGGAAAATTGAGCAGATGATGGTGGGCCCTGAGCTTGGTGAATTCCCGCTCAGCGAGAAGATGATGGGACGCCCCATCGTGCTCCGGACATCGCAACAGGAAGCCCTAAACCCTTAAACCCTAAACCCGTAAACCCCTTGACCCCTAAACCCCTAAACCCCTGAACCCCTGAACCCCTAAGTAAACCCGCCCTAAACCCTAAGCCCATGGCAACAATAGTGGCCTGCCACTGCTGCTGCTACTGCTATCGCTATTGCTACGACTGCTACTAGTTCTACTACGACGACGCTGACGTTGACGACTTGTGGTGTGGCTTAGGCTTTCATCTTGGACCCCTGAACCTTGTATGGCACCCCTGAACCCTAACAGATAGTGAGGGGGAGGATGAGAGGCCCCATGCATGCTCAGCTTGTATTTTTTGCAAGGCTTTCTGAGTGAGAGGCTTGCTGGCACGTGCCAAAGAAGGAGTAGAGGCCCTCTCTTGCACAGCTCAGACCAGCCCAGGTGCTGAAGATCACGGCCGGCAAAAACGGCGACTTTCAGATCAGTTCCAAGGCCGGACTCATCTTTCAGGAGCGAGAACTTGGAGTCAGAATTTAAAACCAAAGATGAACGTAATAGAACGCAATCCGAACACCAGCCTAGCAAAAAGGCTCCAACAGAAGCAGCGCAGCGCCACCCCCCACTCGCGCGTTAGCGCGAGCTTCCAAGCTTAAGCTGGACCTTCGCCAGCCGGAAACGAATTGCGAGCAACTGCACCGCAGGCGCGTGTCAATGTGCAGGAAGTCAAGGACTCAAGAGCATGAAGCTTGTCTTTAGGTTCGAAAAGCGGAATGGGCAAACTACACCAAAGTCACACCATGCCGCATGGAGCTGCCCTCAGCGCCAGCTACCCTGAAGCATTTCAGAGAGCATGGCCCTCTCCTCCCCAGAGGGGAAGATAGGGAAGCATCTGGACCACTCTGGGCCCACTGCTCCATGAAGAGCAGGGCGAGCCGTCTGTGAGAAGCGACTCTGTGACGCGACCTTTGAGATCGCCCCCAAGATCTCCACGAGGGCCTTATAGCCTCAGAGGCGTAGGTCCCCGACCATCCACTTTTGCACCGGCGCAGCAGGGGCACTGCCGAGCCTGACCTCGCGGGAGCGTTGGCGGCATGGCTCCGCTGACACCTCCAGAAACCCCTCCCTCAATGTGGTCCAGTTGTGCAGTTTCCCGTTCGCGATGCCCACTCCATCTCTCCGGAAAGCCTAGCATACTAGCATCCTCAAGCCTTCTCGTCTTGATGTGAGGCCGGCGTCCGCTGTCACTGTTACAGCACTCGGCTCGCAGCCGCGAAGACTCAACTCCTGGACTCGGCTCCTGGACACCGGCTCTCAGCATCTCTCGCTGCTCTCTGCTCCTCTCACCAACTTCCTCGGCTCTCCGCCCTCAAGCCGTTTGAACGCGCACGCGCTCCCGGGTCTCAACAAGCATATGGCACCTCTATGAAGCCCCTCAACACTTCCCCTGCAAGCGCCCTAGATGCTGAACCCTATGTTGGGGAAACCGCTACGTTGAAAGCCCGAAGCCGACAGCCCGTGGCTCTTTGAGGTTTAAAGAGCGAGCTACCCACAAGCAGGGTTTAGGACCCATTATTATTGCTCTGTAGGATGGCCAGTTTCAGAAGTGTCAGAGAGCTTCGTACTTCTTTTTTTGGCCAGGTCGCGAACATCCTCCGCTTCGGGGCTTCCTCGCACCCCGATGCGGCCCTGGCGCCCTTCGACGCTCTGGCGGTGAAGCCCGGCATGTCGACCATGATGATGGGCCCGGAGTCGATCATGGAGGCGCGAACTCCCCATATAACCCCTAAGCCATCCCAAGCCATCTTCCACCATCTTATTAGACCGTCTTAAACCCATAAACCCATAAACCCATAAACCCATAAACCCTAAACCCTAAACCCTAAACCCTGAACCCCTGCTTCAGAGACTTTGGTTCTGGTGTTTGGGTATGCAAGTTTGAGACGGGTTCGCGAGGTTGAGTCGCTTGGCTTTTGCAGTCGAGTCCCCAGGTGCTTAGGATTTATATGTGTGAAATTTGGTATTCATGGATGTGATATTTGCATCATTAATTACTGCGTGTGCTTAAGAATGGATCTATGTATGTCAATCTTCATGTAATGTAGCGTAGGCGTAGCATGACACGTAATGCAAAACATGGCAGCGTCGTCCACTGTACCGGAATGGCACATGCAAGCGTATTTGTACATGTACATGTGCATGGACACGTGCACTTGTAAAGTGTGGATATATATATGCAAAGGCAGATGCGCATGTAAGTGATGACAATGTAACGTCATGTTGGTTATGTATGTAACGTCATGTTGGTTATGTATGTACTTATGTCTTTATGTCTTGATGTATTTATGCAGTGATGTATGCATGTATGTATGTACGTTTGTTGGTTGGTTTGTTGGTTGCATGATGCAGCTCACCCGTACCTTCGCATGGAATTTTGATTTTTATGATCAGAAGCAAGTCGGCAAGTTCTGTGTGTACATGTATGCATGCGTAGGGGTATGGGTACAGGTATTTGTATGTGCATGTGCGGATCTGTGTATGTGTATGTGCATGCTTGTTTATATGTATGTGTGTGTGCCCCATGTAAGGTGTAACGTAATGAGTAACGTAACGTGTAGTGTAACGTGCAATATAATTGTGCAAAGTAGTGTGGGGTGTTGTGGTGCAGCGAAAATGTAAATTGATGTCATGTAATGAAACGAGATGCAATGTCCTTGAACACAACATCATGCAATGTAGGCTACTGTATGTGAAGCGTATGAATGGAACCGTTTATGTCGAGGTGGATGATGTATGTATAGACAGTTCATGAAACGCTTAAGGGTCTCCCACCAACTATGTTTAGAGCCCTGTTTCTTTGGTTAGTGTAGTTTTGCTAGATGCATCGTAATTCCATTGCAAATATTGTTGCATGCCATACATTGCTCCACCGGAGTATATTCTGTACGTATCCATCTGTTTGAGAGATCTAGCCCAGAGGCGGAGAGGACGCTGTCCCGTGGTCTGGGGGAAGCCCGCAAGTGGATGGTTTCCAATGGCAAGCTGATCATCAGTGGCCCAACTTTTGAAATTTCGTGTGTCAAGGCAGCTGAGTGAGTCTACGAGAACTCGGCAATTGGTGTTACCTTTCTTTTCTGTCGCCGCAAGTAGCGTCGGAAATTGGGCACCCTTTGCATCTTATGTCCGCAGTGTCGCTGTACCTGTGCAGGAAGTTTCCGATCCCCCCCTTACGAAAGGAAACTTTTTTCATGGGTACGTCGACACTGGGCGTTCCGCATAACACAGGGCATGTAGAGTCGAAGCAATGGCTTTTTGATCTGCTGCGCTGGAAAATGGTGTTTACGAAAATAGGGGACCCCAATGTAGACTCGTAGACCCCCAAAGAGTAGGATCCCTTAGAAGGACCCCAAGAAGGTACCCCGAACATCGTAAATCGGAAGTGTTGCAGTGTTCCCGGCGCCGTTGGGCAGATTGCGGCGAGACCGTGTGCGCCGGTTGAGTCGCGACACACTTTCTGAAGATAGTGCGGTGTGCTGCGGATGTGCTGGTAGTAGTGAATAGCCTATTTCTATTGCTTCCTGTGTGACGAGACGCACCATAGAGCTGGAGTGGTATGTGCAAAGCTTTCCGACCGAAGCCGCAGTGTCCTAAACCCGTTGCAACTGAAGCCACAAGGCAAATCCCAAGCCCGAAGCCCAAAAGCACCCCTAAACTCCAGCACCCTTGCGCGGCTGTGCATCCTACAGAAGCTATCGTTTGCCAACGCAACACGTGGCTCGAGCGTTGTGCCATGTGGGAATGTTGTCCTGGATCCTTGCCTGCTTAGCAGTTCAGGGATCGCGGTACGTCTGCTGGGCCGGCAGTGCAGATGTGATCTACTCAAACACTTATTCGTTTGCGGTGAAGCAGACAGACGGCACGGTTGTCGCTTGGACTGGTGCTGCTTATGGTGGAGACACCAGCAGTGTGGCCAGCGATCTCACGGATGTGGAGGTGATATATTCGACTGAGAGAGCATACGCTGCAAAGAAGACCGACGGCACGGTCGTGACTTGGGGTGCTAGCAACTACGGCGGAGACTCCGGCAGCGTGTCTGGCCAGCTAGCCGACGTGGAAGTGGTCTCCTCGAATCAGCGAGCCTTCGCGGCCAAGAGGACGGATGGCACGGTGGTGTCGTGGGGGGGTGCAGCATATGGAGGAGACGCTAGCAGCGTCTCTGCTCAGCTTACTGATGTGTTGACGGTCTACGCCAATGAGGTAGCTTTCGCTGCGAAGAAGACCGACGGCACTGTCGTGACTTGGGGCTGGGCGGCTTACGGCGGAGACTCCAGCAGCGTGTCATCCCAACTGGTTGATGTGGAGGTGATCTACCCAAGCCAGCGGGCCTTTGCGGCAAAGAGGACCGATGGGACTGTGGTGACTTGGGGGGATGCAACTTACGGCGGGGACTCCAGCAGTGTGGCTGCCCAGCTGACAAATGTGGACGTCATCGTTTCCGATGTTCGCAGCCGGGCTTTTGCTGCCAAGAAGGCGGATGGCACTGTGGTGACCTGGGGCTGGGCAACTTACGGAGGAGACTCCAGCAGCGTGGCGGCTCAGCTCACCGGTGTTGAGGCGATCTCTGTGAATTGGTTCGCCTTCGCTGCAAGGAAGACCGATGGCACAGTCGTAACCTGGGGTGCCTCTGGATCCGGTGGAGACTCCAGCAGTGTGGCTGCTCAGCTGACCAATGTAGCAGTGATCTACGCGACTAGCCGGGCCTTCGCAGCCAAGAAGGCCGATGGTACGGTCGTGACTTGGGGCTATACCAGTTATGGTGCAGACTCCAGCAGTGTGGCTGCTCAGCTCACTGATGTCGAGACCATCTATGCCAACGAGCGAGCTTTTGCAGCCAAGAAGACCGACGGAACCGTCGTGACTTGGGGGGTGGGCTTGTATGGCGGAGACTCCAGCAGCGTGTCCTCCCAGCTTACCAACATCGAAACCTTCTCGAGCCCCCACGCCTTCAAGAACTTGCATGCATTTGCGGCCAAGAAGGCCGATGGCACCGTCGTTGCCTGGGGTAACAGTAACTACGGGGGAGACCTTGGCACCATCACCTTTGATGCGGCCTGGGCCTCAGCACTGTCTTTTCAGCAAAGTCTCCTCACATGAGAAGTTCTCCCCGAGGAGTGATGTGCGCTTGGTTGAGGAGTTGAAGGTTCGGGTCCGTCAGCGCCCAAAAACAAAGCTTGCTGAAAGGTCGCCACGGTCACAACCTCACTGTCTTCCACGGTTGCTTTGACTACCACATCAACAGTGTCAACATCGACAACCACTTCATCAACAACACGTTCCACCCTTTCCTCGATATCTACCACATCGTCTACCGTGACTTACGCCAACACATTCACCACAACATCCATCACCACATCCGGCACCAAAACACTCACCACAACATCCATCACCACATCAGCCACGAAAACATTCACCACCACATCCGAATCCATCACCACATCTGGCACCAACACAGTCACCACGACATCCATCACCACATCCGGCACCAAAACGCTCATCACAACATCCATCACCACATCTGGCACCAGAACACTCACCACAATGTCCACCACATCTGGCACGGTGCATACCCAGACACCTTCCGCGACACCCACCACGACATGGAGCGGTGCATCGACTCAGACAAGGACCTTCACGGCGACATCGACTGGGACCACGATGCCCTCAGTGACAACGAATGCCACGTGGACCGTCGCGACTCTCACAAACGAGCTGCTGCAGGACACCGCTGCTCTCCTGGGCTGCTTGCCTAAATTTGCCTTCTATAAGAGCATATTAAGAGCATATGGCATATAGGTGATGGGTTTGCTCAGCAAGGGGGCTCAACAAGGTGAGCTCCGAGTCTGTGTGTTCTGTGGCCAAGTCTGCAACCGTTTCTCACACTCACCGCAAGTCGGCAGAAGCGCAGAGAGTCACAGCTAGGATCAAGGATTCCAGGTGCCAACGGGGAAATGTGTCTTGCTTGGAGTCGTGCCTGCCAAGGTCCGTTGACTGAGTCCGGGGACACGCTGGCGACGGCAACAACCGCATTAGGTACGATGGCACTTGTCAGGCGCCATGCTTGCTTTCAGTAGCCCGGGTTGTTTGGCGCGCCAATCCTCCAGCATGATGATCATCTTTGTTCTTGCTTGGTTCTGATCTTTGGGATTGGGGCCCTCAAATAGCCCATACGTACAATTCAATGTCCTTCCATGCCACGAGGGCTGCTGGTATTGCTTGTGCTCGTGTGTGCTTTCGCAGAAGGGGCCGCACTCTGCGAACGGCCGTACTAGCCGCTTACCCCCGACCTCCCACCATTTAGGGGTGCTGGAGAAGAAGGACGTCCCGAACACCCGCCCCAATTCGCGCCCCCCCCCTCCCCACCACCCCTATACACCCCTATCCTTGTACCGCCAACAACCAAAGGGGCCGGAGTTCCCGAAAGGTTCGAATAAGCAGATGCTCCCTCTCCCCCTCCCCCCCCCCCAATGAAGAGCGCCACCCCAAAGCTTATTCAGTTTTGTTTGGGGCAGGCTAGGGCCCTCAGCCGGGTCTTGGTGTGTGTGTGTGTGTGTGTGTGTGTGTGTGTGTGTGTGTGTGTGTGTGTGTGTGTGTGTTCCATCTGACAAGGTTGCCTGCGGCGGCAAACGTCAGCTCGGTCGAAGTACTCTTGGATGGCAGCGCGGCGGCTGCTGTGCTGCCACCGGAGGCACCCGGAAAAAGCACGCTTCCACCGCAAAGAGCCACAAACTCGAGAGTGTCGTTGGGGGGGGCGGGGGGGGGGGTAGGGCAGCGCATCTGTGAAAATTTGCTCTGCGCATTTTGCTTCTCTTTTTTGGGGGAGGTTTTGCCCGAGATCCCCATGGCTTTCCTGGCTTTGGCGCTCACGACCTTCAGCGCGGAGATCGAGGAGGTCGATGGCTTCGGAGTCGGACGGAAGGCGCTCAGCAAGACCGGTCGGCCCCTTGAGGCGGCCCTGCCACCCGTGGACATCTCAATCGTCGAGGCTCCTTTCTTTTTGGGAGATTTTCCTTACTATCTTTTGTGAGAGAAGACGTGGGGGTGGGAGGCGCCACCCCCTTATACCGCATGGGCTCGGTTTCACTCGCACCCCTCAGAGCTGTGCTGTTCCTCACACCTCCAAGGAGGTCATGAGAAAAGTTCTCGACGTCTCTCACACAGGGTTCACAGAAGGCTCAACTTTCTCAGAGAGCAGCGGCCAAAAGTGCACAAAAAGTGATAGAGACCCCCCCCCCCCCCCCCCCCCCCCCCCAAAAAAAAAAAAAAAAACACAAGAGCTCGAACTCAGAAGCCGTCTCTTCCAAGGACGCAGAAGCGGCCAGCTTCCTTGAGGTGCGGAGCCCGGATGCGCCCATCTACGTCCGGGTCTCCCGGACTCCTCCAGAGCCCAACTGGAAGCTGGGGCTCATCTTGCGCTCTTCTGTCTTGTTGCGCTTTTGTGCTTTTATTTATTTATTTATATACATATATATATATATATCTTTTTAAAAATCTCTTGCTCTCAGCAATACAACAAGGTGGAGGGTTTTAGAAAAGGGGGGTATTGCGGAAGCTTGTAAAGGTTCATTGCTCTCGGTTCTCACGAGAATCAGTTGGTCTCCAATCCCAGCTACACAGGATTTGTGCGTTCCTGGACGCTGACGGCCTTTGGTCGACCCAGGGCGTGCGCCTGGCGTCGCCAACTGAGCTGGCGGCCGCTGGCTTGGACAGCTCGGGCACATGGTGCGCCACGGAGCACCTCTCCATTTTCGGAGCCTTCATCGACATCCTCCTGGACTGCACGCTGCTTGGAAGCAAATGTGGGAGCTTTCATTGTTTTTTTTGAGAGAAGGTGTGTGCATTGTGGGGAGAATGAGTAGTTCCCAGCTCAGGAATGCCAACATGCTCACGGCAGATGGGCTGAAGGAGATCGTTGAGCGGAAAGGCTGGTGGGCGCGGCCCCCAGCCATCAGCCTTTGGCTGCTTCTGGGCGCCTCTTTTCTGCTCATCCTCTTCGGCTGCCTCAGCGACGCGCGGGTGCGTGGCTCGGGCCTCTGGCAAGATGAGTACTTCCTCACGGACAGCCTGGATCCTGGATCTAAACGCTGCGCCTGGGCAAGGCAGTGCATGCAGTGCTGTTCTTGCAAGTCGAAAGAGTCGAAAGGCTCCCCCAAAAAGGCCTCGTCAGCGGCCCATCGCGAGCTGCTCCTGAGCCAAAAGCCCAATCTGAGCTTGAGATTCCGAGAGCGGCTCCTTTGCCAGAACACCCTTTGGGAGGTGGCACGGAGCTGCAGAATCCACAGCACCTGCATTGAGAAGCATGTCTGGGGTCATAAAGGCTGGGTCCAGGGCAGCCTCGTCACAGAGAAGTCCCTGAAGCTCAAGGAGCTGGTGATGACCTTGGATGAAGGCTTGCCTTCGGCCTTCCTCAGCGTGCACCAAGGCCGCCTCGGTCGCCTTCGCCTCTTCTGGACGGCCTTCTTGTCCACGCAGCCCTTGTACGAGCTCTCGATGTGCGACCTTCACATGACGACGACGAAGCGGGCCAAGGTCGTCATGGACTGCCTCGTCGGCTCGCTCTCCTTCGTCGCGCTGTTCTTCTCCGTCGATGGCACGGCCGTGGGTGCCAGGAGCCCTGAGGAATGCCCCATTGAGCAGGGAACGTTTCTGTGGTACACCTTCGTCGCCATGCTCTCCGTTCTCTTGAACCTCATCCCACGAAGCTTTGAGTGCTACCTCGCCTGCCGCAGCTTCGTGCCAGAGAGCCGCCGTCATCCACGCCTGCAGCTCTGGCGCCGATCTTTCAAGGATGTCGGCTTCTGGCTCTTCAGTACCGGCCTGTCACTCGTCCAGCTATTGGTCGTCATCGCCTTCCTGGCGAACCTGTCGGAAAAGGATGAGCCGAAGTGGATGTTCACCTTCTCCCTGGTGATTCTCCGGAAGCTTGTCATCGTGCCCCTGATGGCGAGCCTGCTGTCTGGTCTCGGCACTGCTTGCGCCATTGGCCTCACTGGCTCTCCATCCGCGCCGAAGAAGTTTCACCTGGACTTCTCTTTGCTTCCAAGCCCAGGAGCCAACGAGACCGAGGTGACCCCCATCTCCGAGAATGGTCCAGCTTGGGCAGACAAGGTGCAGGAGTTGGCGGGCCGTGGCATCACTCTTCGACACTCGGCCCTTTGAAGAGGCTTTGCTTATACCCGAAGGCCCCGAGAGCCCCCCCCATAAAAGCAGAGGGAAACATGGTGCTTCAGCCCAGGCCACCTCCTCGAGTTCTATGCCATGCTTGGGTGCGAGGTCATGCCCCATTTCAGCCCGGAGGAGCGGGGTTCACGCCTGCCATGCCCGGAAAGCGTAGGAGAGTTTTTTTCATGTCCCTTTAAGCAGCAGGCCCGTAAAGGGAATAGCTACATCATTTGAATGCCGAGAAGTTCTTTCTTCTCCTCAACAGAAGGCCCCTTTACGTCGGACAGAATCCGTAGGGAAGCTCAGGGAGCATGGCTTCCGAATGGCAAATCTTGCAGTTTCAGGGCAGTTCCAGGGGCCATTGCAGAACCCCACTGTGGTTTCTCGAAGAAAACCAACCCGAAGCCCCAAAAAAACAAGAACTGGCTAAGGTGGAATGGCCTCTCTGTCGACTGGTTAAATATGAATGTCGGTGTAGGGTCTCGAAACAGAAGACGCACGACTCAAAGGTGGGCAGACATGACCACGAGTAGCAACCGTGTGCACAGGTGCAAGAGGGCAGTGTCTTCAAAGTGCATCCCGTGCTTGCACATGCACGCGGCTTCGTGTTTCTCCTGGCTCCTTTGTTTCAGGAGTCCACCACGCATGACGTTGTGAGGCAGGCCATCATCCCTCTCTCACTGCAGATGAGGGGTAGCTTGGCGGCGAACAGTCTCTAATCTCCACCAAATAATATGATAGAATAGAATATAAACGAAATAAAATAATATCATATGATATAATATAATATAATATACTGTAATGTAATGTAATGTAATGTAACGTAATGTAATGTAATGTAATGTAATGTATATATATATATACTCACATTCTTGCATGCATGTATGTATGTATGCATGCATGTATGTTTATGTTTATGTTTATGTTTATGTTTATGTTTATGTTTATGTTTATGTTTATGTTTATGTTTATGTTTATGTTTATGTTTATGTTTATGTTTATGTTTATGTTTATGTATCCATATCCCTAAACCCTTAACCCCAAACCCCAATCATGTGTCAAGTCCAAATCCCAACGCCTTGCTTGCCGGTTGCCGTTGCATCCCAGGAAGGCGCTGCTTCCTGGTGGCAAGTCAGGTCCACGGCCCTGCTTCGGAGCACTTGGAGGTTCATGGTGCTTGTTAACCAGTCATAACTGTACTTCTAACCCACTTATAAGCCCCTTTGAAGTGCCCTAAGAGGGTTAGAAGTACTTCTAACCCACTTATAAGCCCCTTTGAAGTGCCCTAAGAGGGTTAGAAGTACTTCTACCCACTTATAAGCCCCTTTGAAGTGCCCTAAGAGGGTTTTTTAAAGTAGGCCCCGGAGGTGCGCCTGGCTTCAGGGACCTGGAGCCGGAAGGCGAGGGGTTTGCCCGGCTTCGAAGCCTTCGTGGTGGAGGGCCTGCACCTTGAAGACAGCTTCTTTGTTGTTTCAGTTGGGCTACCATGTTACATTTTTTTAAGGGTACTTAAAACCCAATAAGGAATATATATAGCGAAATATTTTAACACGATCCCACCCATGAACTAGGCTTGGTCTTCAGCATCAACTCCAAGCCCGCAGATTCCTCGGGCACTTCCTCGGACGCCTCCTTCGCGTTGCCCGCCACGGACGTTTGGCAGGCTTTGAAGGATCCTTCGACCTTCCCGAAGGTGGCAAGCTCCAGGCGATGGGCTGGGTAGCTGCCTCATCTCATGGCATATAATTTTACCCTGAAAAAGATCCCAGAATGATGGCACACGTGGGGTTTCAGCTTCGCGGGTTTTCTTATGACAGCCCAGAGCAGCCGGTGCATAGGAGGCCTCCCACAATCTCATAGGGTTGCGGGCCTGCAGGTTGGGGGGGGGGGGGGAGGGGGGCAAGGTGGAAAAGCCTCAAGAACTGCAGATCAAAGGGCTCAAAGCCCGGCACCAGAGAACTCCCCCGAAACTCCAAGAGCCTGGGGCTTGTTTTGGGGAAACTCACCTTGAGAGCACCTTAGACTCATGCCCCCCCCCCCCCCCTAAAGCCCTCTCAGCATGTCACTGGAGGATGCAACAGCGGCCAAAGCGTCGCCCCAGCAGCGTTCTGCAATCTTTCTCCAGAACCTCCATTCAACAAAGATGTGTTGAAGACTTTTTTTGGCAGGTCTCCATCACCCCGAAGTCCTCTGTGGAGGAGGCACGCAAAGCCCGTGCTGCTCTGCAGAAAGAGGCCCGGCACCCAACGTGGGGCCGCAATGTTTAGGGTTTAGGGTTTAGGGTTTAGGGTTTAGGCTTCCTGCGTTAGGAGGACGATGCGGATCCAATTTTCACTCGCTGCTTTTTGCGAATTGGCCCAGGATGAGAAGCTGCCGGAAGCTTCGCTGCGAGGCACCGCAGACAAGTTCTCAGCATCTCATGGTTCCCAATGTCCGTCGATTTCAACCGGACTTCTTCAACCCACGCGGTTCTGTTCTCGGGCTAAGCTTCCCTTCCTTCCCGCCAGTAGAAAGATCCCAAGACAACGAGTCGAAGGGTGCTTACAACGAGCGAGTCTTTACGCTTGCTTAGCATCAAACAACTGTTTAGTGTGCGGTAGAGAGTCCAAACTCAAGCCAGCCTGCTCCCGCGCCGAGATTCCTCGCACGTTTGCGACGTCGCCACCGAAGATGTTGAGATTCGGTCCTGCAGGGTGGTGAAGTACAAGTTCTTTGCAGAGCATGATGACACAGTAGCCAGCGAGCATGTTGCTGGGTACGCTTATGCGGCCACCGTCAACAACGGCCAGCAGTGTATACCTTCGAAGATGGTGACACACAGCTGGCGGAACAAGTTCACCTTTCTGCTTGCAGCTCTCATTGCAGACGCGTTGAACAATGAGAAGTATGATCACATCGCCCAGCTACTTTCTACTCGCCAGTTTGGCAAGCTCGTCCATGCCTTGAGCCGTGCAAGCAAGCTCGATGCCGCCTACTGGATTTGTGCGTTCTCGGTGAACCAGCACACTGGGATTTGCGCCACACCGCCGCCCACAGACTCCACCGGACAAGCCATCAGTCCATGTTCTTGCTCCGTGCCGAAGCACTTCGATGGAGACCTCAGCGAAGCCTGGTCGAATGAGTGGAATGTGTTTGTGAGTCACCGTATAAGCCTGGGTCCTGGCAGGCTGTCATGCTCTCAGCAACTTGTGCCCCAAAGAGTAGCCTTACCTCAGGAAATGAACAAGTTTGACGACATGATGGCGTTCTTGAAGCGCGTCTTGCGACAGCGTGGCCAGGCAAGGTGCGTCTGAGCACACTGGCTCATGGCGGTCTTCACTTGATTTGTTGGCTGCGCCACACGGCAGTCGAGCCGTTGTTGTAGCTGTTCCATGCTTGTTCCCCGCTGAATGCAGCGTCCCCTTTGCAACCAAGTAACATGCGTAGGGTTTGGGGAAAGGAGAGTTGAAAGGATTATCCGCCGTCCCAAGGGTCGGTGGACGTCTGAATCCTAATCTTAGTCTGCAAAACAAGGCCCGAAAAGCACCGCAGCAGGCAAAGCTGGAGCAGGTGGTGGCTCTGGAGAAAGACTTCTCCTTGCTGTCGCGTGTATGGTGCATCGCAGAGCTCGTCGAGGAGCTTCATGAAATGCTTGATCTGGGGGGAGTTTAGAGCTTGTAAGCTGATAGAACTCTCACAGAGAAAGATCCTAACAAAACGCGACATGCAACAAAGAAGCCAAGGGCACTTCGCTTCGCAACGTGGAGTTGACCCGACCCTCGCTTTGTGAAGTGCCCCCCCCCCCCCCCCCCCCCCCCCCCCCCCCCTCCCCCCCCGCGAAACATCCTCCTTGCGCTGTGGGCAGGCCCATGAGCTCCATCTGCAGCAGGCCGCGGGCTTGGGCATCCTTGGGCATTCTTGTCCTTGCACATTCAGCAAAAGCAAAAGCAATTCTGCGTATATCTACCTCATCTGCCCTCCATTGCTCTGAGCTTCGCATGAGGCGGCTCAAGAGATGCACAACAGAACGCATGCCACAACGAGCCCTTCCTGAAAGCTTCCTAACAAACCCTCCTATAGCAACCTTCCTCAAAAAACCCCTAGAAATCCAACAAAAAGCCTCCAAAAAACACCCCCCCTAAAAAAAGAGACCCCTAGAAATCCAACAAGCCTCCCAAAAAAGCTCCCCCCCCTAAGAGCCTCGAAGAGCGGAGGCCGTGAAGATGCATTCCTCGGCCTCCCGGGACCACTGCCTCGACCGACTCCTCAGCCTGGATGCCCCCCGGAAAAAAAACAAAAGCGGGAGGGGGAGGAGGGGGGGAGGGGGTGGGGGGGCAGCCCGTTCTGAGAGAGAAGAGAGAGAGAGAGAGAGAAAAAAAAAGAGAGAGAGGGAGAGGGAGGTTTGAGGTTTTTTTCTCTTCAGGAAGAGGGAGTTGAGAGCTCGTTTCTTTGACCTGCTTTCATGTTGGGGGCACCTTTGTTCGTGAAGGGGCGATGCCGCCTCCGACTCCCAGATGGATAGCCCTAAACCCTTTGCTTCACACCCTTGGGCCCCAGTCGTACTGAAATCAACTCGTCAGATCATTGCGGGTTAGGCGTTAGGCGTTGGGGTCTCGGGGCTGTTCGGCTGTTTGGGCTTCGCAGCTTCTGGTGTATGAGTATCCTCCGCCACGGAAGTGACAGCAATGGCAACGGTCTAGACGTTTTCTCTTGGCTTGCCCGCTGGTGAGAGGTTGTTTACGAGATTCGGGGGTACCTTACTGGGGTCCTTATTAGAAGGGGATATTTGGGGGGTCTTCTTTCGGGGTCCCCAATTTTCGTAAGCCCCCTTGGAGGTTACGCAAGCGGAAGCTTCCTTCCCAGCGGACAAGGACAGGCTCTGTCCGCACTCGGCAGTCGGTTCGCTGGGATGAGTCTTACGGTTACGCACGCAGAGCTGGTTCTAACAGTCCTCAATAGGGAGTACAGTAGGGGGTACGATGATCTCTGTTAGTTTCAGGGGAACATCCCACATGGCACCTGTGCTCGAGCTGTAGAGAACTTGCATTTGCCCCTGCAAAAACGGGGCACCCCCAGAAATCCGAGAGATGAACTCCCTAAACGCTAAACCCTAAACCCTAAAATCCCTAAACCCTAATCCCTAAACCCTAAACCCTAAACCCTAAACCCTAAACCCTAAACCCTAAACCGATCGCCTCACTCAACGCATGTGGGCCCTTAGAGCGCCTGCATCCCGTGCTCCCGTGCTCCAGGACCTTGTGCTTGGAAAAATTACGGACGTGGATGCCTTTAACTCCGACTTGCAGAAGCTTGGGTCTTGTCAGCCTCGGGTCCTCACATAGTTGCATGTAAGAGCTGCCCCGGGGGGCACTTGCGAAGGAACTTTAAGCTACGAGACCCTACTCGGAAGTGACATGGCTTCCTTTCCATGGTACCCGATTCTAAGTTTTCAATCACTGGCTGGGGGGTCATGTCCGGAATCCCGCAGAGCTCCCTTAGTTCAGGCCTCGCACCAGCTGGCAAAGTTGCAGGATGGGGGGCCAGGGGGGGATCCCCTGTTATGGCAGCGTTTCGGTGCCCGCTTTGAAGGAGATGTCAGCACAGCAGGGCCCGGAGTTCTCTCACTTTTGAGTTATCTTGCAGAGCCCACCCAAAAACCCAGGAAGCTCCTACTACACCGTCTGGAGAGCTTCTTGCACAGCAACAGTGCGAAGTCTTGCGCGACCCTTGTGGACGAAGTGGTGCTGGCAACAGTGAATGTGGTCATTTAGATGCAGCACCTTGCCTGTGTTTACATTTCATAGTATGGGTTTTTCGAAGCACCAACCTCCATGTTTTGCATCTGTGCGTTTGCGGGCGTACCCCCCAACACAAGATGCAGGGTCGATGATTCCTGGGCGGCACTGGAGCCGCAAACCCTGGGAACGCAGGCCTGCTGCGTTTCCTTCTGTTCACAATAGGGGAGCCCTGAAGTCGTTCCACTCCTGTAGCATCACCGATTGCCACATCGCAGGCCATCACACAAGGCTCACGCTGCAGTTCTAGAAGTGATGGGGGTCGGGCCGGAAGAGTAGCAAGCTCCAGCGCAAGAAGGCAGATGAGTTTTTCACCTCCCCGGTAAAAAGTTGCAAAAGTTGATAAAAGCGTGAGGATCTGCAAGCCAGCGGCCGGCGGGTCGCCGCAGGCCTTCCTTCGCCCCCTCGAGTACGCCGGGCGCTTGCAAATCACCTCAAGGGTGTTGTGAGTGGCTTCAGAGCTCGCTGAGCAATTAGGCTCTGAGACCTGGCACCGGCTGCGCATTTCCAGCAAAGCTCCCTAAGGGGATTTTCCTTGGGGAGTGGCGCTGTCACCCCCTTTTTTCCACATCGAGAGCTTCCTTCCTTCGGCCGAAACCAGGCCTGAAACGCACCAGAAAAGCAAGAGAAGCGGCCGTTCTCGGGATGATCCGAAGACATTCTTACCACAGCACCCCCCCCCAACAAAAAAAAAATAGAACCAACAAGAAGAGATGCAAAAGGACCCCCCCCCCTTGCTCTAGGGAACCAAGCTTATGCAGTGACGGTACTCTGTTGACAGACACCTGTGCTTCGACTCTGGTAGTACTCTACTTTTGCCAGGTAAAGATGCTCTTGGCGTTTTCTGAAGAGGGCTTACAGGTCCAGAGTCTCACTCTGGCGACGGGAGCGACAAGTTTGAGGCAGACGCCCGAATGGAAGATCCCTGTGGGGAGGCCGGGAAAGAATCCGGATCCCAGAAACGAAGCGCGAGGCGCAACAGCAAAACCCCCAAATCCGACAAGAACCCGAGCTCAACGAAGAGTCAGGGAACCAGGAGCCGAAAGGAACAAAAGCTTGGAGTGGAAGAAACCAGGAACTTTGGCTGCTTTGGGAAGTCTTGGCTGCTTGCATACAGACATTGAGACATGGCAGCTGTTGTCACAGAAGAGTGTTTTGAGGGGGCATCGTTAGGCATCCAGCACGCAGGGAACGCACAGTCGATTTCACGGTGTTGTCGTACTTTCCTGGAGCGACTTGCCAGTACCCCTAAACTCCACATCCTAGACTCTATACCGAAAACTCCGAACCCCGAACCCCGAACCCCAAACCCTAGACCCTAGACCCTAAACCCTAAACCCTAGACCCTAGACCCTAGACCGCTCCCATTATCGATCCCCCAACCAAAATAGCGGGACGGAAAGGGTTTAAGCGCCATGTCGACCGCCAAGCTGGAGAAGAAGCTGGCCAAGCTGGAGGTGAAGCAGGGTTGAGGGTTTAGGGTTTAGGGTTTAGGGTGATGTCTTCTGTTATTGGTGAGTGTATATAAGGATCCGTTTTACTATTGGTGAGTGTATAAATAGATAAATAAATAAAGAAAAATAAATAAATATAAATATAAATATATATATATATAGATATATTTCCTTGGTGATATAAACTTCAGGTGAAGCTCCGGGCAGAGTTCCAAGCGGACTTGAAGAAGGCACCCACCGGTTGAGGATTCAGGGTTCAGGGTTTAGGGTTAGGGTTCAGTTTTTTTTATTTTTTTTTTTTTGCGGGGTTTGGGTGTTTGGGATTCTTGGAGTCGGGTTCAAGTTGTTCAGGGTTTAAGGCAACCAATTCAAGGCATGCACTTCCCAAGAACAGTGCGATTTCCTTACATCTGGTGCTTTATGCGCTTTTTATAAGTTTTTAATGCGTTTGCTTACCGTCCCGCAAGCTGGGCTGCTTCACTTGCACGTTGGGGAGGTTCTGCGACCGCCATCAATGGTTGATTATAGGGTCCAAATTGAAGAAACGAGTAGGGTTCAGGGTTTAGGGTTTAAGGTTTAGGGTTCAATGTTGCCTTTAGTATGGCCCCCCACCCCCCCCCCCCCCCCCCCCAAACAAATTTGGACCCTCTATAAACGCATGGATCCCAAGGCCCTCAGGGCCTCAAGCCTTACTGCGTAAGCCCCCAAAACACAAACCCATCATCCGAAACAAAACTGTGTACTATAGAGGGTAGCCAGACAAACTTACGAAAGACAGTCTGACCGGCCCGTGGGCTACCTATCACAACATTTGTTTGGGGCCTCGTTTCGCAACGAAATTACACAAGGCTTTACATGGAACTGGCCGGGCTTAGATTTTTGGATTCTCCGGGCACTGGCTCTTTCAGATTCCCTTCAAGGCCTCAAGCCTTACTGCGTAAGCCCTTAGCCCACAAACCATTTAAACAAACAAAAGAAGCATCCGGAAAAGACTTGTGATAATAACGGGTACCTCCAACAAACTCGGTTCGCAGAATAAATTTTGGAAACTTGTGATTATGGACCCTCCTTACACTCAAGTCAGTCCAACATTAGGGTTTAGGGTTTAGGGTTTAGGGTGGGAGAGGTGAAGCAGCTGAGGGTCTACGCATCACTGCCGGCATTGACTGTGAAGATCTGTGAAGCGGGGCCCCATCTCCGTATGGGTGAGGGTGAAGGGCCGGTGAAGGGTGAGATTTTGTACGCCTAACTTCTAAACTGTATAAAGTCCAAGCCAGTTGACCGGGTACGGATTTGTCACAGGCGGGGAACCCAAACCCAGCAACAGGCCCCCCCCTCGTTGTTGACCATTGCCAGGCCTTCCAGGAGTGCATCGCCCGACTGGAGCGTTCTGAGGCCAAGCTTGCTAGCTACCACGAGGAGGCGCGAGAGGAACCCGAACTTTTTCAAGGGCTCAGGGTGTCAGGGTGTCAGGGTGTCAGGGTGTTAGGGTTTAGGGTTTAGGGTTTGTTTGCGGTTTGTGGTTTAGGGTTTGGGGTTTCGGGTTTAGGGTTTGTGCAAGGTTTACGGCCTCATGGTTGGGATGTGCAGGCTCTGTGTGCAGAAACCCCATAGACAGAAGCCTGCGTCCCCCTGAAGTCCCAAGATGTCCCAAGCTGGGCCGTGAAAACTCAGAAGCCCGAAGCTCCGAACCCTTAGGGTTTAGGGTTTAGGGAAAGCTGTGAGGACAGCGCGAGCTTTAACATCGATGCCCTTGCCGACATGATCAAGCGACAGGCGCCTTCAATACGTAGAGGTCGGCTTCCTTAAGGATACAGGCAGCCTGTGTTGGGTTTCGTGCTTGCTTCTCTTTGCTTAAGCATTCTCGGACGTGGCATCTACTGGGGTATCGTCCGAAGCGCCACCTTGTATAAGGTTCCTTTTTAATATTGGTGTACAAGAAATATATACCCTCCTTCATAGCAGGAAGAGAACCCGGAGAAGATCCAGGAGAACCAGGAGGAGGTTCCAGAGGCAGCGCAGGAGGAGATACCGTCCGAGTCGGAGCTCGAGGCAGCTCCGTGAAGCAGTTCGGAGGTTCAGGGTTCAGGGTTCAGGGTTTGGGGTTCAGGGTTCAGGGTTCAGGGTTCAGGGTTCAGGGTTCAGGGTTTAGGGTTTAGGGTTTAGGGTTTAGGGTTCTAAGCGTGCGCGGGCTCGCTTTGTGGTGTTCTGCTGGGTGTCGGCTGTGTAAGGGGAAGAGGGGCGCAGTGTTGCCAGAGTCGTATTGGTTCTGATCAGAGGCGAATTGAGTGGCAGCTGCAATGGCCCAAACAGCATGCTCGGCCTGCGGGGTGGTCATTCTCCAGAGAGAGGTTTCCCTACGTCAGCGTGATTGGGGGCGCCAACCCGGATTGAAGTCATGAGGGTCTCAGCTCTTCCAAAATTTTGAACAGCTGTCCCCCAAAACGGCCCCAAACTTCCCTAAGCTCACCTCAAGCCTGAAAAGGCCGCCGCAAGCCGTGCCTCAAACCGGAAAGGCTCATGAGAGCTACTGGCGAAACAAGTTCTCCCGAAGAACGGCCCCGAAGCCTGTACAACAGTAGAGCTATCTCGTGCATCATCGAGTCCACTTCGAACTTTCTAGGTCTAGGCCAAGGACAGTTGCAACTTGTACTTGTCTGGAGCTGGCGATTGCAGATTGCTCGGTTTTTGCCGTTCGTTTCTGGGAGGCCACATGCACCCCCCCCCCCCATGCTGAATCTAACTTGCCCTAGCCGGCAGCTTTTTTGATTTAAGACGGCACCGGGCAAGGAGGAGGTCGAGCATCATTCCGATTTTGAGCCGGTCCCCTTCATGGAGTCCACCTGGAACGTGGTCCTCGTCATGGGCTGCTGCAGCCTCCTTCTGGGAAGCTTTTTCTGCCCCCGTTTTTGTTCTGCTCATATGGAGCGTCTTGCAGTTGCAGGTCCGTCCCCGCGCTGTGTAGCGTTTCCCACAAGAACGCCCTAAAACCCTAAACCCGAAACCCTAAACTCTAAACCCTAAACCCTAAACCCTCAACCCTAAACCCTAAACCCTCTACCCTCAACCCCAAACAAGAGCCCCAAAGGATTGACAGATGCTGGTCGGCTCGATGAGCTTCTTGGCATCCTCCTGATGCTCTGCAGCGCTGTGGTGCAGGCGGGGGCCTCGGAAAGGGGGGGCCCTGAGGGCGGTAACTGATCCGATCTTGGTTTGGGGTTTTAGGGTTTTCGGGTTTTCGGGTTTAAGGGTTTTAGGGTTTTCGGGTTTGAGGGTTTTAGGGTTTTAGGGTTTTAGGGTTTGAGGGTTTTAGGGGATTAGGGTTTTAAAAATTTTCGGGTTTGAGGGTTTTCGGGTTTCATAACCTAAGCCGCCAGCGTGAATACTTGTCCCAGGACCCCTCAGCCCCCCAAATCTCAGCCCCGGCAGTGGCCCAGGTGATGTTCGGGGTGGTGCTCTTATCCAGGGATTTCCAAGGAGCACCCTTTGAGAACAACCTGGAGAGTGCTTCGCGATGGAGGCGGTCGCTGGCGCACAGACGCTTTGATGCCGTTACGCTCTAGAAAATGTTGGGGCTAGGGCTGGGGATCTGGGTTTAGGGCTTCAGGGTCAGGTTGGGTTTTTCTTGCGCAGGATGCCAGGTGAGCCTTGACGCGATTCATGGAGTTGTTGCAGGTGTTTTAGGGGTTTTAAGTGCTGCTGGGCGAACGCTTCAGGGCTGCTGAGACTGAGACTTCTGTCCTCGGAGTCCTTGAGAGATGACCATGAGGTTTATACTAACAGCTCCTTAATGGGGATTGTACTAGGGGAGGTACGATAATCCCTACTCAGGATTGTTAGTAGAAGGGGAAGATCCCAAGGCAATGCCAAATCGCAAGGTCACCTTCATCTCCACGTCCTGAATGGCCACAAAAGGCTTTGGAGTACTTGAGCTCCTAAACCCTAAACCCTAAACCCAAACCCTAAACCCTAAACCCTAAACCCTAAACCCTAAACCCCAAACCCTAAGCCCTAAACCCTTAGCCCTAGGCCCTGAACCCTAAACCCACCGCTCTCAAAGCACATCCCAGCAGAGGTCATCTTCATATGGACTTGGCCGAGACAAGCCTTGTCTCCCGCGTGTGCAACATAGATGAGTCTTTGATTGTCTCTGTGGGCCAGGCACCCAGGGTTCGGGTTTAGGGTTTCGGGTTTGGGGTTTAGGGTTTCGGGTTGAGGGTTGAGGGTTTAGGGTTGGGATGTTCCCCCGTATACTACGAGGCCTGAATAGGGATTATAATGGGGGTACCAGAATGTCCATGAAGGACTCTTGGTATAAGGGGGAACATTCCAAGTTTCGGGTGTAGAAAGCGCTTAGAGAGCTTTTGGGTTTCGAGGCCCTCGGTCCGAGGTTGTGAGAGTGAAGCGCCCTTGCCCTTTGCATGTCTGCGATGTGTTTAGGGTTTAGGGTTTAGGGTTTAGGGTTTAGGGTTTAGGGTTTAGGGTTTAGGGTTTAGGGTTTAGGGTTTAGGGTTTAGGGCTTGTACTCTTGGATTGAGGAAACCCAGCCAATCATCCCTGAACACGTTTTCAATCTTACACCCCGAAGCCCCTCAACCCCCTAAACCCCCTGAAGCCCTACAAGCCCCTAAACCCAGAAATCCCTGCCCGGCCCTATCCTTACACCCTAAACCCCTAAACCCTAAACCCTAAACCTTAAACCCGAAACCCGAACCCCTAAACCCCTAAACCCCTAAACCCCTAAGCCCCCAGACCCCTGAACGGACCCGCCTGATTTCCTTGAGCAGGCCTCCCTCCTCGGCGAGATCAACTCCTTCCTCGGAATGGCAAAGCAAGATCTCGCTCGCCCGGACTTCGCGCCCGGCTTGTGGCTGCGGGGCTTATGGGGGATTAGGGGTTTAGGGATTTAGGGTTTAGGGGTCTAGGGTTTCGGGTTTAGGGTTTTTCGGGTTTAGGGTTTAGGGCTGAATTAGGGTTTAGGGCTTAGGGCTTAGGGGTTTAGGGTTTAGGTGTTCAGGGGTTAAGGTTTAGGGTTTATTCGCGAGTTTGGGGCCTGCAGTGGGTGAGGCATGGTGGGTGGAGGGCTCGGGGGTGTTCTCATCCTCAAGCTCAAGACGCTTCCTAAACCCCAATCCCCAAACCCCAAACCCCAAGGCCTAAACCCGAACCCTAAACCCTAAACCCTAAACCCTAAACCCTAAACCCTCAACCCTGAACCCTAAACCCTAAACCCTAAACCCTAAACCCTAAACCTTAAACCCTAAACCCTAAACCCTAAACCCTAAACCCTGAACCCCAAACCCTAAACCCTACACCCTAAACCTATAAACACCCAGACGAAACCCCACACCAGATAGCTCAGGCTATCCATGCTGTGCGTGATGCTCTGGTGCCTCTTCCTATGCCAGGAGTTTCGCTCCATTTGGCTCACTGTCGAGGTCTGGTTTAGGGTTTATGGTTTTAGGGTTTAGGGTTTAGGGGGGGTTTCAGGGTTGAGGGGTGCTGAGTTCAGAGGTTGGGAAGGGGTGGCCGGGGGCGCCATGGACAGCAGGTTGGATGCTAAGCAATCAGCCCTAAACCCCAAAACCCTGCAACCCAGACGTCCTAAACCCTAAGCCCTAAACCCTAAACCCTAAAGCCTAAACCTCCATGAACAATACTTCTTGGTTGTTTGCATCAAGCCCCTGAATCTCCAGAAAGCTGCGTCAACAAAACCCGCATCCAATCCCTCCCCTCACCCTCTGGAGGCAGTCCTCGGCATCCCCATTCGCAAGCTCACCGCATTCAAGGAGGGCGCGCATTCTCGGGTCCGTGGCTTTTCGTCGCCCTAAAGTGGTGAGGGCTCAGGGTTTAGGGTTTTCGGGGTTTCAGGGTTTAGGGTTTCAGGGTTTGAGGGTTAGGGGTGTTGGGGTAGTTCCTATGATACTCAACAGGTTTCTCTTTCGAGCCGCACCCCCCGTGATAGAGGACGGCCGATTCGATCACATCTCACGTGGGCGATGGCTGCTCTTCATGCTCACCCGTCTGGTGCCCTGAAGGGTTTAGTGGTTCAAGGTTTCGGGGGTCTAAGGGTAGTTACATGGGCCCAATATGGTCCCTTACCTCCTTTAGTCTGGTGCCCGAGTTGAGGGGTTCAGGGTTTAGGGTTTAGGGTTTAGGGCTTAGGGTTTAGGGTTTAGGGTTTAGGGTTAGTGGTTCAAGGTTTCGGGGTCCTGTGGCCGTGGGGCGCAATGGCAAGACGGATCTTGAGCGAGGGGGGGTTCAGAAGCAGGCAGGTCTCGGACCCGCTCCCTAATTCGGCTCAACCAACGCGTTTAGGGTTTAGGGTTTAGAGGGGAATGGGGCTGTCCCGCAAACCCCCCAAAGGTGTGTGGCCCCGAAACCCTAAACCCTAAACCCTAAACCCTAAACCCTAAACCCTAAACCCTAAACCCTAAACCCTAAACCCTAAACCCTAAACCCTAAACCCTAAACCCTAAACCTTAAACCCTAAACCCTAAACCGTAAACCCTAAACCCTAAACCCTAAACCCTAAACCCTAAACCCTAAACCCCCCCTCCGGTTACAAAACAAAAACCCTAAACCCTAAACCGTCCTCCCCACGTAGGTTCGGGCAGTGATTGCTGGGGTCCTGCTCTACGGGGGTGTGCTCTTCCTGGCGAGCACCACCTCCATCCGAGACCTGATGCTGAATGCCGTCGGCCTGGGGATGCTTGGGTCCAGCTGGTACGCGTTTTGGGGTTCGGGCTCTCGGGCCCAGCTGTGCTGTTTAGGAAGGCCTAAGTTCATAGGGTTTAAGGCTTGCTCAAAGGATCCAACTTTCGTGCGTGGGGTGTGGAGGTGGGGGGGGGGGGTGGCAGCTGTTTCTAACCATCGGGGTCTCCCTTTCTCACCGTCCAATCCCTCAGCGCGCTCAGTTTCGGTAAGTCCCCCCTCAAAACGGAACAACTTAAGATCCTTTGAGCCCCCCCTTCGCGAGAGACCGTACACCCTCCCAAGCCTTCCGAAATTGAATTCTGAATCTCAGGATCATCATGGAGGATGGGGCTGCGGAGGGGGTCCTGTGCTTTGGGGCTTGGGTAGGTTCAGGGCTTCAGGGTTTGGGTTTCGGTTGGCAAGATGTTCCACCTAGACCTCAGGATGCAGGGCGGCAAGGAAAAGTTGAGCACCTCGGGGTCGTGAGGTGTACTTGGGGGTGTCGGAAAATAGGGGACCCCAAAGTAGGTAAGCAGGACCCCCAAGAAGGGGTACCCCTCACATGGTAAACCCCCGATTTTTGGGTGCATCCGGGCCTGCCCCCAGGTGGATGAGATGATTTTCAACAGCCTGATGCCGGTGAAGATGCAGAATGCGAGTCTCGGCCATGATTGAGATCAGAGACGTCCCATAAACGGTAAGCCTCAAAAGCCCTTCACTTGAAGCCCTAAACCTCTGACCCGAAAGCCCTAGCCCGAAACCCTAAACCCTAAACCCCAAACCCCAAACCCCAAACCCCAAACCCCAAACCCTAAACCCTAAACTCTGCAGCAATGGGCACCCGCTCGTCATCTTCTCCACCACTGTGCCCTGAAGCTCGGCCCAGGCCGCCCTTGAAGCACTCACAAGTTTTGATATCCTTACGTGCCTGGAAGACGAATGTCAGCATGAATTCATGAGTTCATCAGTTGCCAACACAGCCGAATCAAGGTACATTATGCTATTCTTCCCCCTCAGTGGGGTTGTTCGATTTTATGGACAACTATGTCGCATACCCATGTGCACCATCACCGGCAACAAAAGCGCTCTACTACCACTCGGTGAGATAGGAGGACATGACTGGAAACGAGGACGGATATGAGGAGGATGGGAGGAGGACAGATACGAGGAGGACAGATACGAGGAGAGATGGCAGGAAAGGAGACGGCGGCTGCTCCGCAAAGCAGTGGCCGCATACCGCCAGAAGGCCTCTCACGTCTGCGATTGCGCAAAAAACAGTGGCTATTGAGCGGCCAGCAGCTTCTCGGGTCACCATCATACAGTGGCCAGGAGGCTTTTCAGGCCGGCGACTCCACGAAAAGAATGCCCTGAAAAAGAGCGGACATATAGCGGCCAGGAGACGTGTCAGGCCTGCGCTGCAATGCAGCGGCGAAACAGTGGCCTGGCCTTTCAGGCGCGAGGACACTGTTGCGTGTCGCGAAGCCGGACGCCCAAAAGCGACGACAGTCTCGTATTTTGCAAGGACAGACGCTTTGTGTTGCGTCACGATACACGCTCGGATGGAAACCTAGTTTCAGCTTGTCTGTGTAGCCTGATGATCATAGACCAAGCTCTTATCTTGGTTACGGAAAACATTAAGCCCAAGGTAGATGTCGTCTACGACATGACCAGCAGAACCCAGTTCTTCGCGAATCAACACTGGTGGTGGTTTGTGTTTCTCCCACACATGCGCGAGAGGAACGTGCAAGTTTAAGATTGCATTCTACATGTAGGAGCCGGGAACAACGTGCATTTTCGGTTTACGAGTAGGACGTCATCCATCTTTAGTCTTATTCCTTAATAGCAGGCTGTGCTTGGTTTGATCAGGTCATGCTACAAAGACAAGCTGAACCTGGGTTTCCGTCCAAGATAAGTGGATTGAGCTTGTTGTATTGTTCTTAATCGTGTTGCATAGTTGGGGCACGTGCTTGTGCGCGTGGACTTGAGGCTGCAACTCATTGCTAAGAACAAGGACGCCTGCAAGGTCTTGTCCCACAACCTGCCATGATAACACTTTTCTAGCTGAAGGAGCCAAGAGGAAAGGTGCACAGGGAGATCGGCAACCAGGCTCCACGGCAGATTATTGCTTCACTGCCTTCTGTGTACTTGGTAACTTGATAGCAGTTAGGAAGTGAAGATGATGTTGGATGAGCTGGCTGACTGCTTCGATTTTGCTTATCTCCTAAGTCGTGGCCGGCTTAGTCTCGCGCAGTCACCGCGTGGAATCTTTTCAAAAAAAATCACGCAGAGGCCCATTTCAGACTTGCTTGACGGAGCGACGCGGTCTCTCTCTGCATCGCTGGCTTGCAGCGAGTCGTCAGACGCAAGCCGGAGCCTCGGGAGTGCGCCGCCGTCAAAAGTGAGCCACCATTTCCTAGTGGGCAGCTTGGCCACGGATCCAGCGCAGGCTGTTGTAGTCCGCCTGTTGGTTTTGCTCTCCAACAAGACGCGGAACCGTTTGACACACGCCTTGAACGGCAATGGGGCGAAGCTTGTCGGCAGTAAGGTCTTGGCTGCGTCTTTTTTGAAACTGCTTCTGTAGTGGTGCTGCGTGCAGAAACATTCGTTGTGGCTTGGAATACTCGAGGAGCTTCGCCTGCTGCCGGAGTTCCTGGACGCCTTGCAGGAAAGGATTCGTTAGATAGTATGAAGCACTCAGGAGGGGTTGTGAGCTTCGTCTTCTGCCTCAGTTCCTGGATGTTCTTCAGGAGCCTGTGGCGAGGCACGGCACGTGTAGCAATAGCACCGCGTGCTAGAGATCAGCCGTTTATGCTAGAAATCCCCAAGATGATGCGAAAATTGCATGGGCTTGGTTGGTTTTCAGACATGATCATGGGTGGATGTATTCCCGTTGGTTCGCTTCCTTGCAGGCGGCCCTGCAACAGGAACCGCAAATGGATCGTGCTGCTGCAAAAGCTGTGGAGCGGCACTTTGACCAAGCTGCTGCAGAATAAGCTGGACATGAAAGATTGCGCCAGATGCTTAGCCTTTCATGCCGGGTTTGTCTGTCTGTGCTAGCCGGGCGGGTGAGTAGCACATGTGATTCCAAAGTACGCGCTGGTGGAGGTTTCGTCTCGTAGGTTTCAGCTGCATTCGTGCTG